GGAGAGGGGGTCGGCGCCCCCCTTTCCTTCCTCTCTCCTTCCTCTTTCCCCCGCCTCTCCTAGTCCAACAAGGAAAAGGGAGGGAGTCCTACTCCCGGTAGGAGTAGGACTCCTCCTGGCGTGCCCCCTCTAGGCTGGCCACACCTCCCCCCTTGCTCCTTTATATACGGGGGAAGGGGGCACCCTAGAGACACAAAAATTGATCGTTTGATCTTTTAGCCGTGTGCGGTGCCCCCTCCACCATAGTCCACCTCGATAATACTGTAGCGGTGCTTAGCCGAAGCCCTGCGTCGGTAGAGCATCATCATCGTCACCACGCCGTCGTGTTGAGAAACTGTTCCTCAACACTCGGCTGGATCGGAGTTCGAGGGACGTCATCGGGCTGAACTTGTGCTGAACTCGGAGGTGTCGTGCGTTCGGTACTTGATCGGTCGGATCATGAAGACATACGACTACATCAACCGCGTTGTGCTAACGCTTCCGCTTTCGGTCTACGAGGGTACGTGGACAACACTCTCCCCTCTCGTTGCCATGCATCACCATGATCTTGCGTGTGCATAGGAATTTTTTTGAAATTACCACGTTCCCCAACACAATGAACCCAATGGCGCTCTATTGTGATAATAGTAGTGACATTGCTCAAGCAAAGGAACCAAGATCCCACATGAAAACCAAGCATATCGAGCACAAATTCATATTATCCGACATCATGTCGAGAAGGGTTTTGTGAAGGTTCTCAAGGTTCATACGGATTTGAATGTGTCAGATCCGATGATGAAGCCTCTACCACGAGGAGAGCATGAGCAACAACGAATAGTCATAGGTGTTAAAGAGACTATGTAAACTAGATTATTCACTCTACTGCAAGTGAGGAAACTGTTGGGAATATGCCCTGAAGGCAATAATATGGTATTATTATATTTTTATTTTCATAATTAAGAATTTATATTTCATGCTATAACTAATATGATTCTGAAATATGCGATTTAGTGGAAAACTCAAATGCATGTGTGAAATGATAAACAGTAAAATAAAGATTCCCGGTCTTGCTCTAAGACTGGCTCAAGTGTTGTCTGGTGATCACATTTTTCGGACTCATGATATCGTTAAGTTTATTCACATTGCTTGAGTTTACTTTGTCTACATCATGTTATCTTGCGTGATCTGTTCATGTCTCTCTCTGTTGTTCCTACTTCGTGTGCGACGTTGATATGCATGTTTCTCTCTATAGTTCGGCCTTCATGATCTGTTCATGTCTCTGTCTGTAGTTCCTACTTCGTGTGCGATGTTGCTTGAATTTACTTTGTCTACATCATGTTATCTTGCGTGATCTGTTCATGTCTCTCTCTGTTGTTCCTACTTCGTGTGTGACGTTGATATGCATGTTTCTCTCTGTAGTTCGGCCTTCATGATCTGTTCATGTCTCTCTGTGTAGTTCCTACTTCGTGTGCGATGTTGATATATATGTTTTGTTGTTCATCTAGTTTGCTAAATTGTTGCATGCTAGTCTATATTCTAGTCATGAATTATTTACTGGAATTGATCATAAACTTAACTAATATTCTAACATGCACCTCCCTAACCAGCAGTCAAAGCGAGACGAACTCCTAAAGGAGTTAGGAATGGTGAGCCCATGGATCTTCCTAATCTGTCTGCTGCCCGTGATGACAAACTCCATGACATTTTTCCTATCAACAAGCTTGAAAATACCAATGGCGATTTTCTTGAAATCTGACTGTAAGAGTAAGTACAACAAGATGACATCGACAGGCTATAACGATTAAAATATTATATCTTTACTTATTTGAAGGAGAGAGAAGAGAGACATAATGTTGATTAGCAGCCAACTACAGTACGAACCCCAAGACACTTTGTAATATTGTAAAATGGACAAATTATTAATAAAATGGTACACATTTAACATTTACTATTGTACATGCGGACTATTTTAGGTTAGATCTAGATGACATGACATCTCCTTATAGCTGATTGTTAATTATACTATTAACCATGCTCTAAGAGCGTCTACAACCGCAGGTTGCAAATATGAACCCTCAAACGTTCACGGGCACGCCCGCGGACAATGATCGGACGAGCCTCGAAATTTACCATTTGCATCCACATATCCTATTTTTGAAACACCTATTACATGCAGCGCCATGCACGGCGATCATCCTGGGCATTTTGGGCCGACTAGGGTGTCAAAACACACCAAAAATTACTCATACTTTAGATTATACATCCATATTAGTCCCATCTCACCGCGTGACGAGCTAGTCGACCGGCTTAAATAGCCAGGTCATGCAGAAAGGATAAGCTTCTGACATCATTGAATCCTTTGTAAAGAAAATAGACTGTTACTATGAATCTTGTATGTTTATCACATACTCCCTCCGTTTCTAAATATAAGTCTTTTTAGACATTTCAAATGAACTACAACATATGAATATATATATAGACATATTTTAGATTGTAGATTCACTCATTTTGTTTCGTATGTAGTCACTTGTTGGAATCTCTAAAAAGAATTATATTTGAAAACTGAGGGAGTAGAAGATTGATAGTCAGAGTCTATCTCCTTTATACTAGGGAAATATTTATGTCCGTACTGCCTTTTATGAATCGCAATTTGTCGGAAAAATTTGGTAAATAAAATAAAAAAGCTACTGTCAATGTACATGAAAGAATGCGTCAAACGATGTGGGACTAAAATTTGGATACACCGATGACAAAGAACAAACCTTTAGTCGCCGCAGGTGAGATCGCTACGACCTGCAACGGGCTGGGTGGACGCTCCCGGGCGCCCCCATATCTGGCACATTTTTGGGCGCCCCCATATCTGGCACATTTTTGGGCTGGATATGACGTTGCCGGTCAGCTCGGGCATTGGATGCCCGTTTAAGACGCCCATCTGAGTCAATTTTGTTTGATCGGTCGGTGACCGGGCAGGCCGCTGGACGTTTAAGACAGATTTAGGGTGCCCAGCTATTGATGCTCTAATTATTATCTAGAACGCCAAAACTTAGCCATGGCCCATCACCAAGCGTGATCTCCGTGCAGGCCGCAAAGATAACCCTGGCACTCCGTGAAACGGAAAGGGTGTACCAACCCATGGCTGAGCCATTTTGATGGAAAAAGGGGTGTACCAACCCATGGCTGAGCCATTTTGAGGCAATGAAGCGGGAGAGGAAATACATCACCTTAGAGGATCTTTAGCTGATCTCACATAAGCGGGAACAAATTTTTTTTACTCCCTTATCAGATTTGGTACTTCAATTAGATCCGGTTTAGTGGGGTAAACTAGAAATTTTACTCCGTTGTAAGTATAGCTTTCTAGGGGTCGGCTAGAGGTTCTTACCGTCTGCGTTGTTGTAGCTATTCTGGCACGTTTGCTGCAACTCGTGAACGAGCCCATATGGATTCACAAGGAAATAAAACATTGCACAGCGACAGACTTCGAAATTTGTTCAGTCTGAAAAATTGTCACACAAAAGACTACTACATTATTCAGATTTCGTAGTACTTGCCAGACTACTACAGCAACATGATGTCTACAACCTCTGACTATATACACGACCAGGCTCCGAAAAGTAACCAACTCAGCGATCAAACAAGCAAGCCCCCTGCAAAGAATTTTGAATTTTATGTCACTACGCTGCGGAAAAACTGAGAAGAGCATGGGCAACATCTGCACATACCTGGCGACTCATTTGCTGTCTTCATCACTAGAAGAAGTCTGAAAAAGCGAGAGCGCGATCAAGGGGCCTAGAACCGGTGGCAAAGGAGGCGGACGGCTGAATGCGACGAGGGGCTCGACATTTTCATCCTTTGGGAGGGCAGATTCAGTAGGGCTGATCTCCTTCTCATGCTTCTTGGGAGTAGTAATCGTCATCAACCCTGTTCAACAGAAGGTGAAGAAGTAAGGCACCGAGCTGGTTCTTCAAACTCTCAAGCAAAGCAAATTGAGGGTGGATCTTGACTTACTCGCAAGTCCATTGCCAGGTTTGATTTGTCTGGTTGCAGTTTCCACTAGAGACCTCGCACTCCCCCTCATGGAATTCGTGCGCTCGCTGCCTGCAATCTCTACTCAAAGAACAGATTCATGGGAGTAAGCATGCAACAAGTGATATGTTTGGTATACGGTCAATTATACAGAAAGGGTCATGCAGAAAGAACAATTAACCTTGCACAGAAATTCAGATAGCAACAAGAAACGGGCCAAGCTGGCGACGAACAACAAAATCTTGGAGGCATCAACAAAACCATGAACTAGCACACCCCTTCCTAAAATTCCTTATCACACCGTCCCTTCATATATTTTCCTCAGTCTCATTTCCATGCGCATATATGCATATCAGTTGCGTCTCAAATGAACAATCAATCAAGAACAAAAACAAGAGAAATCTGAGGTACTAACAAATTAATCCCCCGCGCGAGAGTTGCAGGTTAGATACCGGACCTACAACTAGGAGAGCACGGATGTGAATCGTGAGGGATCGGGAAGCCATACCTCGATCTCGTTGCGCAGGAGAGTCGTATGAAATGATGATGGCGTGCCCTTGATCTGGGTTATGGAGGATAGGCGAAACATCTGGAAATTTCTCGGGGGAGACCAGAGTCATCTTTTCGCTGGCAGACCATATGGGCCAGACTTATCTGAATGGAAGAGCCCGATCCCTCGTTTAAAATAAGTCTGGCCCATATCATACTGAAATAAGTCTTACCGGCCCGTCAAACTCTAGCACTTATCATAGGCCAGTTGCACTGATCTGTGTTTATAAATTAATCCAAGCATTCGAAAAAATGTTAAACAAGTATTTGAAAAATATTAACGAAGCATTTAAAATCTGCTTAATGTATATAGAAAAATGTTGACCATGTATTCACAAAATGCTAAAGTTATTTTTTGACAAGTGTTAAATGCCTATAGATAAAACTGTTGACCATCTAATAAAAATGTAAACTTGTATTTAAAAAATGCTGATCAAGCATTTACAAAAATGTTAAATGTTTATAGAAAAAATTCTACCATGTATTCAACAAATGTTAATCTAGTATTCGAAGAATGTTAATCAAGGATTTAGAAAAAGGTAAAAAATGTATATAGAAAAAATATTGACCGTGTATTAAAAAATGTTAATCTAGCATTTGAAAAATGTTAATCAACCATTTAAAATAATATTAAATGTGTATAGAAGAATGTTGAAGATGTATTTTAAAAAATTTAAACTTGTATTGAAAAAATTTGAATCAAGAATTTAAAAAATGTAAAAATGTTTATAAAAACAATGTTGACCATGTATTAAAAATGTTAATTTGGTATTTGAAAAATATTAATCAATCATTTGGAAAATATTAAATGCATATTGAAAAAAAGTTGACCATGTACTCAGTAAATGTCAATATTGTATTTGAGAAAACATTAAACATGTATTAGATATATGCCAAAATGTTTATAGAACAACAATGGATACCTAAAGGAGAACAAAAGAAAACAAATGAAACACGAGGAAAAAACAAAAAAAACGAAGAAAAAAACTAGAGAAAAACGAAAAAGAAACAGAAAACCAACGAAAAACAAAGAAAATAAAAAAGAACAATAAAAATAGTGAAAACCAGTGAAAAAGCAAGAAAACCCCCCAGAAAACCAGTGAAAACCCGACTCTTTTTCTTTTACAAGGGTGTGACCAACTAATTAAACACGAACCAGATGTTGACCCTGTGGCTAGCAGTGCAACAACCCTTTTCCTCTAGCGTATTTCGTTTAGTGTGAATGGGCCGGCCCATAACTCTAGATGCTTCAGCGAGATTGAAGGAAGTCTCTCCATAAGCGAGATAGTCTTTGCGCTTGTAGTGAGACCTAGGGAACCCTCGCATCAAGGCAGTTCGAGATGGGGCGGGCCCAGGTGCGCTGAGGCCACATCCTCGTTTTTCTGTTTTTCTGTTTTTTTTATTTTTTTACTGTTTTTATTTGTTTTTCTAGTTTTGTTTACACTTCCGGAAATTCTGAACATATATATTACAAAATATACTTAACATTATGTTTAAAAAAATGTTTAATGTGTAGAAAACAATATTGGCCATGTATATTAAAAATGTATACAAAAATACAATGCGTGAAAAAACTTGATCATGTATTAAAAAAATGTTAATCAAGCTTTTGATAAAATGTTGAACAAGAATGTGAAAACTGTTAATCAAGCATCTCAAAAATGTTCACCATCTATTAAAAAAATGTTAAACTTGCATTTAAAAAATGTTAAACATGTATAAAAATTGTTGGCCATTTATTCAGAAAATGTTAAACTTATATTTGAAAATGTTAAATGTGCATAGAAAAATGTTGACCGTGTATTAAAAAATGTTTAACTTGTATTTGGAAAATATTAAATGTGTATAGAGAAAATGTTAACCATGTATTAAAAAATATTAATCTGGTATTTGAAATTTTTAATCAAGCATTTAAAAGATGTTAACATGTATTAAAAAAGGTATTTGATACATACGAAATATATGTATAGAAAAAAAATTCCAAGAGAAAACAAAGAAACCCGATGAAAAGGAGAAAGAAAGAAAGAAAACCGAAGAAGAAAGAAAGAAAACCGAAGAAGAAAGAAAAGAAAAACTCAATGAAAACCGAGAAATAAATAAAGAGAACCAAAGAAAAACAACGGAAAAAGAAAGAAAAGAAAAACGAGTGACAACAGAGATAACCCCATGATGGCTTTGTTTGCCCATAAGTTATTAGGCCAACAACGATTAAACGGCCAAACAACCAATTAACCAGGGCCTGATAGGCCAATTAATCGGCCTAACAAGTTAACACGACGTATATGTGATATTTGATTCAGTCACCCTACGAGTAGCGATTAACTGGCATGTAAACTAATTAATAGGACGAATTCTTAAACAATGCTTATCTAACTTGGAAGTTTTTCCTTTGTTTTATAGATTCGTTTATTTAAAACGTTTTATCTTTTGAACTGTATATTTAAATACTGAATGTTTTCACCATTTACACTGTTGGATTTCTCACATCTAGGTCTTTGAAACTGAATTCCATGTTAATAAAAAACAAAAACAAGGGAAAACTGATACCCGAAAAAATGACTACCAAGAGGAAAATTAAAAAAAAAACTTGAACCAAAAAAATGGAAGAAACAAACGAGGTGAGAAGCATGGTTGTGGGTTTCACCAATGTTTTTGGAAGTACAAGCTCTGCTTTTCCCATTTTCAGGTAAACATAGGTTGTGCTTCTCTTTCTTCCGAAAAGGATTAAATCTATTGTAAAAGTTCACTAGAGCAAAGCATCTCTAAGATGATAAAATTGACATTGAGATTATGAGACCACCGAACGACCTTTATTGTCGTCAGAACGAGCTACCAACGCGTCGTTGTCGCCTCTCCCCTATGGAAGCCGGTTTGACCTTATCGATGACAACATGGAAGTCTTCGTGCATGTGCCATTAAGGACTGGCGCCTTGGAACTGCAATTGCCGTCGTCGAACCTTTGCATAGATCTGAAGCATCTGACACCAAATCTCACCACATGATGAGAAACCTAACCTAACTGCCCTAGGAAGATGGTAGGAATCTATGCTAGAGCTCCGTCGACTATGTCCATACGGACAAACTCGAGGATGATCGGAGCCTGAAACACAAACTCAAAGAAGAAGCGTCGCTATCCGTCCGAGCGCCACACATGCGAGGGCTAAAAAGCCTAGCCTAAGGCCAACTCCACTGCGCGACCCCAAACGGACGTCTGTTTTGTCTGGATTCTGTCCGTTTGGGTAGCGATTTGGGGTCGTGTCCGGACGTGTCCTGGGATGCGGTGGCCATGCGCCCAGCGCGCGGCCGCATCCATTTGCCCCATCCTGTCCGCGTCTATTTAAAAAACCAGTAGTAACGTTTCAAATGCCAAGCACTAGTTCATGCCAGTGGCCCCGGTTCATCATGCCGGCAACAGAGCTAGCGGCCTACATGTCCATCACCGGCATCAGCCAGCGGCCGGCAACACAGCCAGCCTCCAAAATGATTTGTTGTCCTCGCCGGCAACACAGCCGGCCACCAAAATGAATGTTTTCTTGCCGGCACACAGCCAGCGGCCCAGCGGGCGGGCGGCACCCATGCCAGCCTCCAAAAAGAACGGCCACGGCCGATCAGACGACCTACTTCAGGCCTTCGGCTTCGAGCATCTCCTTGTGCTTGGCCTCGAACCAGGCCCTCGTCTTGTCGCTCATCTTCGACAAGTCCACGCTCATGATCGCAAGGGCCACCTCCTTCGCTTTGGTGGCGGCGTTCGTGGCCTCGATGTCGAGCTGCCTCTGCCTGGCCTTGACGTTTTCGGCCTCGATGTCGAGCTGCCTTTGCCGGGCCGCCTCCTTCATGTCGATCTTCCTCCTCTTGGCCGCCTCGTCCATCTCAAGCTTCTTTGTTTGAAGGTCTAGGTATTGCTTCATTTGCTCCTCCTTGCTTTGTCGCTTCTTCTCGTCCCTCAGATCCTTTTGGGACATCATGCCATGCAAAGTGTCATGCAATGCCATGGATGAGGCATCACGTATTTCATCAACCTTGGAGTTGGTCTTGCCCCTCGGCCTCTTCAAGGCCTCGCCATCTCCACCTCCGGCGTACTTGGCCGTCTTTAGTCCTCTCTTCCTTTGTAGTTCACGGTATTGGTCCTTGAACTTAGGGCAATTGTTGATAATCGTCCAACAATGCGTAAGAGTGAATGGCTTGTCATTGTGCCGGGCCTTGAATGCCTCCAAAGATTGAAATGCCTAAATCACATGATCAACAACAAGTGAACATGCAAACATATACACGGCCGAAGTGTCATGGCCGTAGTAAGGAAAGGGCTAGGAAGATGAGAGCATACCATGTCCCCAACGCTGAGACCACTCAAGGGTCGTGCTTCAACGCTCTCTAATGCGGCGCAATACTTTTTGCACTCTTGTTGGATGAACAACCATCTATTTTGAATCGAGCCGATGCCACGATTGCTTGTAAATTGGTAGGGCTCAAACATCTTCCTTTCATGGAATGTTCTGTGGACTCTCGTCCAAAAAACAATGCCCTTTTGTTGCGCGCCGATCCTCGGATCTTGGCTAATCTCCATCCAAGCTTGGCAAATCAACTTGTCCTCATCTTGTGTGTATGAACCCGTGCGAATGCTCTTCCTCTTCTTTTGTACTTCCGCTCTTTGGGTGAGCTCATCGATGAACAATGGCTTGCCACTAATATCAATGTCATTGCCTTCTTCTTCATCACCTTCGACATAGATGTCATCGTCTTCATGCCACGAGTCACCATGGTCGTAGTCAGCACGGTCGTCGACCTCTTCATCGGGCACGTACTCGGCGCGGCCATCCTGACTTTGGGTCTCCTCGGGGTCGTAGGCACGGCCATGCCCACTCTCGAAGATCACATCCTCCATGTACTGGCTGTAGAAGGGGTCGTCGACCGTTGGCGTTGGGGTTGGCATTCCATCAAACAAGACGCGGGGGGCCGGCATGGTGCCTGTGAACGGTGCCCATGCCTGCTTTCTTTGCATCTCGACGGACGGCCGCTCGCCACTACTGGACCCAGGCGTGATGTTGAGGTCGATGACGGTCGCGGGGCGCGG